AACCATTATTTTACTCAAATAATTTAGTTCGAATGAATGAAGATGCGTAAATTTCTAATAAATTCAGAGCAAAGCAGTACAGAATTTTTAATGTAAATGAATTTATATATGAATAAGTGAATAATATAAGTAAATATTTAAAATAATATATAAATATACAAATATAAATTATATATATAAATAACATAAGTGAAATTTAAAAACTACTCTCCAGTAGCCGAGTAGTAAAACCACCGAACACCGGTAGCCAGTCGTGGGTTTGGGCATGGAAAACTCCATGCGCCGGGCAGGCTACGTAGAGTTTCCTGGGTTTTCTTCACGTTACTAACACCTAAATAGGGCCAGTAGTGAAGTAAAGAATAACCTAAATAGAGACCACCTTTACATAAAAGTCTTCCCGGGATGAATCGCCCTTGGCATATCGTTCACATGTTACGTTGCGTTTGGTTACGGCAACGTTAATTATAATAATTTTTCTATAAATGCGATATTTACGAGAACATACTTCTCACGTAGTTTTTGCAATCTATTGGAAAAATATAAACACTTTATTATCACATAAAAACAATTATTCTCGCATTTTTACAGGATTTTTTTATTTAAACAAGCCGCATGAAAATGTTGCACGAAGTTGCTAACCTGTCTTTCGGACAGGTTAGCAACTTCGATCACGTGCGGGACCATTACAACCTATTCAATACTGATCACTTTTCAAATATTATCAGTAGATCGGTATTAACCATCCTCTCTTCCGGGAGGAGGACAACTACTACTTTTGGTCGAATTATTTCGACTCTCTTCTACAACACTCCTTCTTTCTATCGGAACATATGGTGGCATTCGAATAGGAAAATTACATAATACCAGGTTACCGCCTGTACAAAATATGTCTTAAGTGGTTTTTCGAGAATGCCGAGTTTAAATATTTGGTCCGTTTTTTTGCAAAATTTTATTGGTTGGCAGATTACCGTTTGTTATTAGGTAATGATACAGTTTCTTAGAGTTACATTAGAAAAAATTATATCCGAAAAAATTTAACATATCATACTTTCAATTGATATCTACTTGACCATTGAAAGTGTGCCATTTCGTATCGTCCGAGTATAGCGATAAATATGACAATGGTAGGCTAAAATGACCAAACTCTATATAGTTTCGTTTTAATGTTTGTTATATTATAGTATTTGATTTGTATAACAAGAAAGGTTATTACACCGAATGAACAACCTAATACATTTTTTAAAATTCTTTATTCCTCCACTGTACACAATTTAAGGAATTTTTAAAATGCGTTAGATTGGACACTTAATGTGATAAACTTTTATGTAACACAGCCTTCGTAGTTATATAAATTAAATACCATAATATAATAGAAGAGTTAGAAGTACGAAATAATCTAATAAACTTAATGTTTGTTATTACAAAAGTTGCTTCTAGCTCTTGGTGTAATTATATTAATTAAATTATCAACAACCGTGAGGCAGATAATAGTTTATCACACCAATGATGGACACAAACGCTCAGGAATCAAAGTGAAAACGTTTAATAAACACAAAAATGACTACATAAGTATGGAAACGAAAAAACCCAAAATGCATTTCTCATCGGTTGGTATTAACTAAAGGTTATATTTAAAATTACACGCGGTAAAGATAAACTTAAAACTATGCCTACAATACAATATAAAGATGAAAACGTCGTTTTAACTGTATGAATAATAGTTCAAAGACCTCTGACATTGAAGTACAACAAATTCATATGTCACTAATTACATTAAAAAATGTTTACATATGCCTCGACCTTCTCCCTTTCCATGGTGTACAATGATGTACTTTTCTCTATCTCCTCTTCTCCTTAAACTTTACACGTAATTAATAGATGGTCTGTTATTGGCACTTTCCAGATAGTCGGTTCAAACCAAATATCATCTGTTCATATAGCGAATGACAAACTTTTTCTTTTTGCAATATTAATTTATTATTAAATATACATGTTTATTAGAAAAAAAAACTATACTCTGAATCAATTAAATAATCAAAGGATAAGGTTAAATTGACTATATATTTTGTAAAATAATATCATAAATATCATATAATTATTAGGTAATTTCACACAGTAAAATTGACCATTGTTTAAAATCACTGCTCTTGACCAACGAGCTGGCCGCGTGCAGTTTTCCGGTTTTTCTTCACTAACACTAACGAGTCTAACACTTAATTAATTAGGGGTTAGCATTGAGTAAAGTATTCCTAGGAGTAATTCCTCTTGGACGATCGTCTATGAGTCGCGTTGCATTATTACATCAAACAAATCAACCAAGCCAAAGTATTCGCTGTCGATAATAGAATTATTAAACCCTGAACAATATAATGAACATGAACTAAATAAAGAAAATTAAAATAATTTTAGAAGAAATATTATTCACAAATTATATTTTATTTTATATAGCCTACGTATATATAAATCTTTCTTATAATGTTTTAATTTATCGACATAATCTATTGACATCATAGAAGATAATAATCTGAGTTAAAATGATTTCATCCTTATTTATCTTCATGTTCTAATAAATTTAAGTAATTAATTTTAAAATTAAGTGAATTATGCTATATTTAAACATTTTAAATCTTTTATCTTACTGAATCTAAGTAAAAGAAATTAAATGAATTGTTTATGAAGAAATATTTCTGCCTAAAGAAGCTAAATCTGTTTTCATTTATCCTATAGACCAGTTTACGAGGTTTATTATTGCTATATGCATCTTTAAATAAATTGAAGTTTTTAATAGTCTAAAAATGTAACCCACTATAACTGAGAAAACAAAAATCCAGAAACGAGTTGCTTAACTTTCCCACCAACATTTAAAACTGCTTGTGTGGCTCCATCTGTTATGATTTGTATTAATAAAAACTTTTTATATTTTTAATCATTATATAAAAGCAAAACGTTTAATTTTGAAGGTAGGGATGGGTTTTATAAAAAAAAAAATTTAAATGCTAATAACGAGTAAATCGACATTACATTCGACCCTAAATTAATTTCATTATCATTCACAATATAACAATTTACTATTTTTAAATTTCAGTATGGGCCACAGCCATTGGTAGATCCATTTATTTTTTTTTTGTACATAATGCACTGTATTGAATTTTTATTGTAGATATTTTACATTTTGTTGTATAGAACTCATTTTCATTTTCATCGATGTACTTTTTTTATACTGGACAAAAATGTTGATTTTTAAATAAAGTTTTTAAATAAAATATATTTTTCTCTGTTTTATTTTTAAGAACTCCGTGTCATATTAATTTAATGTGTCATTCATTAACAATTATTAAGGTTTGGTTTGGTATAATGGGCGCAAAAATCTTTGTTTTTTCCCTCTTTATTTTGGGCAATCTGCCAAATGGGATGCCCCACAAGAGGAAATTCTATAAGAAGCTGTCATCTATTCAGGTGTTAGACACCTGAAGAAAACAGAAACGCAGTGTACGGTACATGCCAAACTCCTTGGTCAAGGCTGAACCCGAGACCAGTGTTTAGTAGTTTTATCCACTCGGTTACTGGTAAACCATTATTTTACTCAAATAATTTAGTTCGAATGAATGAAGATGCGTAAATTTCTAATAAATTCAGAGCAAAGCAGTACAGAATTTTTAATGTAAATGAATTTATATATGAATAAGTGAATAATATAAGTAAATATTTAAAATAATATATAAATATACAAATATAAATTATATATATAAATAACATAAGTGAAATTTAAAAACTACTCTCCAGTAGCCGAGTAGTAAAACCACCGAACACCGGTAGCCAGTCGTGGGTTTGGGCATGGAAAACTCCATGCGCCGGGCAGGCTACGTAGAGTTTCCTGGGTTTTCTTCACGTTACTAACACCTAAATAGGGCCAGTAGTGAAGTAAAGAATAACCTAAATAGAGACCACCTTTACATAAAAGTCTTCCCGGGATGAATCGCCCTTGGCAGATAGTTCACATGTTACGTTGCGTTTGGTTACGGCAACGTTAATTATAATAATTTTTCTATAAATGCGATATTTACGAGAACATACTTCTCACGTAGTTTTTGCAATCTATTGGAAAAATATAAACACTTTATTATCACATAAAAACAATTATTCTCGCATTTTTACAGGATTTTTTTATTTAAACAAGCCGCATGAAAATGTTGCACGAAGTTGCTAACCTGTCTTTCGGACAGGTTAGCAACTTCGATCACGTGCGGGACCATTACAACCTATTCAATACNTTGCTTCAAGGTCTTCTAATAATTCTATAAGTTCATCTTGCAGGTTGATGTCGACGTTTTCGATCTGAGCGGAAAATGGCGCCATAATCCATTCTGAGATATCGATATTTTCTAAATCTGCAAAACGCACTTTAAAATCATCGCTCAATTTTTGAAGATGATTTGTATTTATTTCCAAGTCTTCATCTATTATTTGCAATTTTCTTAGATTTGGAAAGTACTGAAAATCTTTACGTAACAATGAAGATTTAAACAAATTTAATTTAACTTGGAAGCCTAAAAGAATTGTCGGAGCTTGAATAATTGTGACATCTTCACCTTGGAGCCTTGTTTGAACGTCATTGAATTTTACAAATAAGTCCGCTACGTAAAAAATGTGGTTCTTATGTTTTTGTAGTTCATCACTCAGAACAGAATTTATTTCGGTAAGAAATTCTATCGTAGAATCAAATAACTCAACGAGTTTTTGTAAACATGCACCTCTAGACAACCATCTGACATCGGTGTGTAAAAGTAACTGGTTTGTTAATTCTCATTTTTCTCACAAAGTTTGGAAAACAATCTCAATTTAAGAGGGTGGGCTCTAATTTGATCAATAGATTTAATACAAAACTGTAAAGCGTTATGCAAATCTGAACTGAGATATTTTGCTACAAGGTGGTTTCTATGCAACACACAGTGAACAGTACGTATTCCAGGGACTTTTTCTTTAAGAAAAGTTGCAAAACCTCAGTAACAGCCTACCATAACAGGTGCTCCATCTGTGACTACTGATATTATATTGTTAATTGAAATGTCGTATTTATTCAAATATTCTTCTAAATTCCGATATATTGTCAGAACTTTTCCATCACATTCAAGATATTTAGCAAATAAAAATTCATCAATGATTTGACATTTACTTTTACTAAAATATCTGACGTAAACCATAAGAAGAGAAGAAACACCAAATACAGACTCATCAAGTTGAATAGAAAATTTGCAATTTTTGAGCTCTGAAACTACTATATTTTCGACGTTTTCGGCCATTTCATCAATACGCCGTTTTACTGAACTCGCACTTAATGGTAAGCACTTTAAAACATCAACGGAGTCTTTTTTCATTACATTTTCAATGACATCTTTAATTGCAGGTACAACTATATCTTCTGCAGTTGTGTGTGGTTTTCCCTTTTTTGCTATATTGAGCGAAATCTTGTATGAAGCGATTAAGCCTCCTTCAATATCAATTATAGAAGAAGCAGACGGCTTCATAAAACTTTTTATATTTTGTCGTGTTGCAAATTTTCTTTTAAGTGTTTAAAAAAAAAATCAAGATCTTTATCCTTTTTATCAGAATGAATTCTCTCAAGATGGTCTTTCATTTTAGCTGGTTTCATCGCATCGTTTATAAAAGTTTTCTCACAAAGAAGACACATAGGTATCGTTTCATTTGTTGGAGAAGAAATAAATCCAAACTTTAAATAATTCAATGAATATTGTCGACATTTTTTTTAGAAACTGAAGTTGCCATTTCAGAATTAGGATTCTATAATTAATAAAAGAAATGAAGTTACATCGTATCAAGGCGAACAAAAGTAACTACAATTTTCTAACCGAGTTTAGCTTGCCACCGCTCAATTTTAGCTTTTTTGGATATTAAATCCTATAAACGAGGCGTTGCTTCTTTAGGCGTAGTCACAATTAAAACTTACATACAGTTACGAGGTTCACAAAATAAAACAATTACAATAATTCAGATATAGCAAAGTTCAAAAGTCAATTAAACCACAACAACAGGTCCGTCGAAAAGGACTCCTTGCGACGAATTGTCCCGTGGGACAGTCATTAACAAGTTGGCGAGACGAAGCAACTTCTTCAGCAAGTCCGCTGATTTAATTGATGAAGTAAAGATGCACTCCGACGTACTTCGATGACGTCTGATCAACCCGAGTTCCCTGGATATCTCTTAGGCGAACTGAAATTTCCGCCTAAATTCAATCTTTTTATATCGGATTGAAACGAATGTAAGTATTCCAATCAGCGCTTAGTAGCATTATCGGACGTCCGCTGGCCGTACGATGTTTCCTAGCCAATCCGCGGTCGAGTTCCAAAACTTCTGACATAGCCTGATCTGCGTTTCCATGACGACCGCCGTTGCTCGTTCAAAAACAAGAAAAGCGCGGGAATCGTACGTCCAGACGTCTGATTTTATCCCGACAGGCGTATGCAGTAATACTTCGACTTACGCTACCCCGATTTATGCGAACTCGGAGTTACGCGATTTTCAAATCTTGTCGATTCTCTTTTGTTTGAGCGCCACGCAACTGTTGATTACTCACTCCCCCCACACTATTGTTCAGCTTACATGTTCGGACGTGTCGCGCGGAATCGACACATAGCTACAATTTATTTTGTGTTATTTATTTCTGTGTTTGTTATATCTACGGAGACTTGAGAAACTCTACTATGTCATCCAAACGAAGTAGAACTGATTCTTCTGAATCAAACAAGAAAAGAAAAACTTTATCTTTGGAATGTAAAGTTAACATTATTAAAGACTTCTATATAAAAATGAAAATTTGTGAATTGGCAAAGAAGTTTGATCTACCGGAATCAACGGTCAGAACAACTATAAAAGGTAAAGATAAAATTCTCGAAGCTGTGAAAGATGCTCAATCTTTAAATTCAAGCATCATTCGTAAACGTCACAGTCAGGGCCGGATCATCGCATAGACAAATGAGATAAATGTCTAGGGCCCGATTTTTTAAAGGGCCCGGTCAAACTGTCTATTTTGAAAAGATTTGTAAATAAGATAGTTTACTTTTCTGTTGGACAACTGTATAATACTGGTAAAACTGATAAAATATGATATTATTTAAATATTAAGCAAAAAGGTTAAATTAAACAAGTAAAACGGCAAAACCGTATTTGGGACACGACTATGTCTCGGAGACAATACTAAGCAGAATCACTTTGACGCTCAAGGCGGGTCTCGTTCTCATTATCCAATCGTCTTTGGTATCGCTGCTTTTGGACGCGATCGTTCAAATTTCGCCGGCCACGACCACGAGATCGTCCACGATGCATTTTTGATGAAATTAACCTATCCAATTTGAAATTTCGCTCCGTTGCAACCCGTCGGCCCGGGTTGAAATTTTGTCGATGCCTAACGAGAATTTCCCGTTTTTGAAAAAAATAATCGTGGCTATTGTATCGTTCGAAATTATTTTTTTATTTTGCACAAACAATATACAGTTTAACCCGATTATAACGTCATCGGATGTAACGACAACCCTAATATAATGTCAAATTTTTATCGGTTTCACGATTTTACTATACCAGATAATGTTAAAAAACCTACTTCTAACGACATAAAACCCTGTTTTAATGTCATATTTGAAGCACTCCTAAATTTACAAAATTAGATTACAAATTTTATTCAACAAAGAAAATACTACGTGTTCAGTCCTAGGGACACAGTCCAGTTCCTAGAACGACTGTGGGTGGTACTCTCACCACCTGACTTCG